AGCCGAGCCTGCTTTAATGGCGACTTCCTACGCCAAGTAAATCTTTTAGTTTCTGGATTGAAATCCCTCCATACATCCACTAAACAAAGATATCCAATTAGCTCTAAGACCTTATCACCAGCTAGAGGGTTGTTGACGTTCTGGTATTTACACTGGTCAAGATTTTCATTCAAGACAAGATTCCAGTCTGCTGCGAAAATATAATCTTCATTTCCAATACCACAAGCTTCGGCCTTCACCTTATCATAAAATTCTGGGGAGTCTTGATTAGGACCATAAATATTAACCAAAGTTAATCTCTTATCCAAAATTGTAATATCTAAATAATGATGTTACCATTATCATCCATATACTTTTTATGAATAGTATAATCAAAATCTTTATTAAAAAGTACTAGAACACCTCGAGAGTGTCTGTTTTTGGAATTAAGAATACAATTAAATCCCCACTGAGCTCTTTTAATCGGTTCTTGTTCTTGGGCAAAGTTTGTGTCCTGTAGAAAATACATGGAATATTGCTTGGAGCGGAGAAAGTTAAAAACATCCTTTCTCTTTTCGACATCCTGCAGACCCCTACTATTAAAAGAGCAGCAACTAAATCCAAAGTTAACCATTATCAATAAATTTGTTTAAACCTACAAAGACCAAAGAGGAGATTGGACAATAATTCATCATACTATGCTTACACAGACACACAATTAGAATAAAACTTGCAAGAAAACTTTGAAATACAAATACACATCCATAAACAATAAAAATTCTGACAACTTCAAGTAATGCATAAAACATTTGAAACCGACGCTCCCATGGTTGGACTAGATTCTTATGGGAAGCTCCTTGGAAAACAAATAAAACTATATGGAGATTTACCAGCTAGATCTAGATCTTGAAACTGCTAAGGGTTATGATCTATAAGACTAACTATACTTTTTCATTAGAAACAAGTACCGATCAACAACAGTTAGATCGCACTTCTGTTATCAGCTTCTGGGTTTGTGTATTAACTTCCAATAAATACTATCATAGGCATGATAAAGGCATAGGGAAGTGTATACTCACTAGTCGTTACACTGTAGTTAGGGAGGGGTACACAGTACTAAAACTAATACGATACAGTTCCTACAAAACAGCAATAAATCAGAAATATGAGTGGTGCTACTCACTTTATCTGAATATTAATATGAAATAGACCAGAGAGACATGTTTACGTTTGCTAAACTTTAAAAGGTAAAACCTAAATCCATGAATTTGTACAGTTTGTAAACTGCAGTGGAGATAATGTTACCAAGGAGATTTGGGTAGCACCATATTGAAAGAATAATAGATATGACTAGATAATAACAAAAGTAATACTTGTCTGAAAAATATGTTGAATCAACGTCGACTTTACATTCGAGACATGGTAAACAGTCACACATATGTACTGACGATCCGACGATCTGGCGGTGCCTTGCCATTTTACACCCGTTTATCACGTGACTGTGATAACGTGACATTGTCATGTGACAATAACATAGATTCTTTTTAAAGCTGCAAAGTCGATTCACGTAACATAGTAACTGTTTTATAAGCTAGAAACGAAAATGTTCCGTTCTAATTACCTTCAACTTTAAATTCTGTATATGATTTGAAAATAAAGTTTTCATCCGTAAGACTCTTTTCTGAACACTCGCAGGTCAGTTCACAAAACGAACAGAAAGTCAAAGAAATCATTCGGTCTAGGCTACATCACTCTTCCCCGAGTGACGTCCACTGCGCTAGTCAATCCTTGGATTACAGACTAAAGTTCGGGAGAAGGGTACGGATGTTACAAATAAAGTTAACAATATAATAATAAATAAATTCAATTATAACTGGCAAATAATGGGGAAACATTATCCACTCTTCCAAATTCAACAAACACTAAATACAAAAAGTAAAAATTATGACCAAACACGCCGAATTGATGTTGCCATAACTAGATTAAGATTAGCAAATTACAATCTTCATCACTATCTACACAAAGTCAACCTTCATCCAAACGGCAAATGTATCACTTGCCAAATTCCTGAAACAATAGCCAACACTATCTTTTACTGCTCAAAAAATAATAAACAAAGAACCACATTTACCAATGCTTCAAAACAGTACCTCAACAATGCTAACTCTTCTGATCTCAAGCACATTCTGACAAACCCCAAATTAATTAACTCATTAAGCCCGAGAGACACTTCACTACTCAACACCTTGAACCTCTCGCTGATTGCCCGGCTCGCTGTTGCGAGCTAATTAGTGCTATTCACACCTGATTTCCCTGGCAGGTTTCGGGGATGACAGGAAACTGTCTAGTCGTACAAACAAGCTCTGATTGTTTAAGTGTGTCGTAAAGATACAAGTTAAAAGAAAGCAGGTGTGAATACATATCATGTATGTATTCTTTGTATGTAAGAGATGAAACATACATAAACAAATTCTTTCTCTCATATCATTGTGTGAGGTTTAATTTTACAAAATATCTATGATAATGACATACTGTAATTTACATACATGCTTTATAATCTTCTACAATATTAGCGTTTTTGCCGCTCGATTTCTACTGTTTACTGAATATTTCAAGGAAAGTACTATTACGCTAGTCTGTGACTAACAAAGAGCACATTCATAACTTTGTTTTATCTAGATTTAATGCAAAAACATACGTTATCATACGAACATACATATAAAAATTGCATAATACCGATTCCTTGTATAGACATGAAACAAAAAGTCACCTGATAGGGCGTCAACAAATTTCCCCAATAGAACATGCGGTATCTCAATCACTCAATATAGTGGCTGATCATTTGTTGTCTATGACCAATCGTATCATGGGATACCTGTTACAGAGAAAGGGACAGGTGATGGGTCGTGGGCGAAATTTCTGAAGACCACGTTTGGTCACTCAACAGCTGGATAGAGATTGATTATTGGCTATACCGTTGACCAGTCGATATGCTGGGTTTCGGCTTTAACAACTCAAGCTATCATGTAACAGTTTGTGTATTGTAAACATACATAATCATAACGATCTATGAAATATACACATAAGACAAATAGGAGTAGATAGATCTCAGAGATCGAAAACACATTTAGTGTTTTTCGATAAGTAAAACAAAGTGATTGAAATCCAACCATTGAGTAGAGATAGCATATATTTTCATATACATTTTACGCACACAGCCATTACATAAAACATAATGGTTTGCTGTACATGTAAATATAATCTTCACCTTGATATGACTGACTGACTGAGGTTGGTTTGACGCCGCTTTTAGCAATATTCCAGCAACATTAAGGCGGGGGACACCAGAAATGGGCTTCACACATGAATGAATATCCAAATTAAAGTACACGTATAATAGAATTCAAAAAGTGACACGATACTGAATTATTATAATGTATAAACTTGCAGTTTAATCCCCCAAATATTTATGAAAATGGGCGTGCCTATATTTATACTGAATGTAAACGAGGTTCATAAGATTACAGATATACATGCATGCATAAACATTACAAAGAGGGTCGTGACTCCATAAAGCAGGTTGTCCAATGATGCATCTGTTTATTTTTCACTTGTCACGGGACAAACCTTTCCACAAGGACGTAACTACATATGCATTCTACCGGAGGCTGTTATTTCAAGGTCGAAAGAGGTCTTCAATTATCTCATTACTGTAATATGATTGATTATACGCATGTGTATCGATACCGTAACTGATATACTATCCAGCTTTTATTGACGATGGATCAATAGAGACTGAGTTCATTGATACACGTGATAATTACACCGGATTTGATAATTACAGAGAGCAAATAGAAATGTTTTACACAATGCTCATGTAAATTGCACAGAAAACTGACAAATTCAAATCAACATGAAACTTTTAACTACTTGAACAAAAATACTTGAAATACCATTTGTATGGTTTACATGTAATAACTTATGATATTTCTTCTGTCTATGTCTAAGAAGATTTGGAATTACCAACTTACTGTGTTTTGTGACAAACGTAGTAAAAGACTTCATTGTTGTAATAACACTGACATGTATTATATTCGATGCAAAGGCGCGACTTATCACTTTAGAAATATCGTTTAACATAATACCATAATACCTCTGTAAACACATCAAAATAACTTAGTTTCCGTTCTTGCGGAAACCTAATGGATACTGGGTAATGTAGGTTTCCGCTAGGTTTCAGTATGCGGAAACAGACAATGCGAGTTTCCGCATAGTTTACAAAACTGAAACTAACAAATCTAGGTTTCCGTCAGGTTTCTACAACTGAAACTATCATTATGCGTTTCCATTTAGTTTCAGTTCGCTGAAACATTCATAGCAAAATGACTTAGTTTCCGTTATTGCGGAAACCTATTGGATACTGGGTAATGTAGGTTTCCGCTAGGTTTCTGTTGGTTTCAGCTTAGATGAAATGGCAAACTTAGCTTTGTGCTGTTCCATTGGGGGACAATATTTACTTACTGTTACATTTGCAAGATAATTTCTATATACAGAATCCAGCTAGGGTCCATGCAGGAAGCAAAAGTACTGTACGTTCCCGTAGTCCCTAGTATGTTGATCAACCTTCAGGTGTTTGCAATCTATAGCCCATTTTTATACTGTACTGTTAGTGTTCATGGTTACATGACAGTTTTAGTGTACATTTGTGATAGACTAGTTTTACTGTCCTTCGAAGACAGGTAAGTACATAAGTTTGTTTTTATTTCATGTACACATTTACAAATTTAGATTTACGACTTTCCTAGTCACGATATGGCTGCCGATGTGACTTTGTAACTCACTACCATTCTGCATAACTTGTGAATGTACCATTTATTACATTGTACACGAAAAACAACAAACACAGTAACACAGTCACTGATATGATTCATCTGTTTCATTATTTTGAATAGCTCACATTTCAACAGAACCCAACAAGGAAGGTAGGTAGGTAGGTAGGTAGTAGGTAGGTAGGTAGGTAGGGTAGTAGGTGTGGTAGTAGGTAGGTAGGTAGGTAGGTGAGAAGCCACATCAAGAGGGAATCTTCAGCATTGGAGAACACAACTTCTGCATGAATATGCAAATACAAATATGTCAAAACCCTACAACATTTTATGCATATGATGAAATGATGTCTACTAGTGCAGGCATAACATACTTGCTGTGGTATTTATTAAACAGATTTCAAATTCAAATGTTTATTGTATGAAAGGTCATGGGCCCATATACATGAAATGTACATTTGAAGCTGCCTCAATGTATCTTAACATATACACACTAACAATCTCACATAGTAAAGACTTGGCAACTTGCTGACAATCATGAAGCTTCTATTGCACTCATACTGAGCAGACAGCCATCCTCTGATCTGGTACATATGAAACAGAGCCTGAGATGAGACATTTGTTTTGCAACACAGAGAAAGGGGAAATATAACCAAGTTGATTACAACAAGGCTTGAACCGGTCCACAACCACAAACAGATAGTGTATGCTCTACTTAAGATATGTGGGTGAATATGAAGATTTCCTGGTTGATGTCTGGCACAACATCGTTGCCATGCTCATCGTCCCACACAGACTCTGCATCATCCTACAAATACAATACATACAATGCTTAGTAAAACTACTAAAACAGCCAAAGTAACTCATGTATACATATTCAAAAACATGCACAGTGGTACATCTGATCACAATGAAATTATAAAATTAGAACGACTAATTTGTAGATGTAACCAAAAGATCTTTTTTCACAATTACAAAGGAAAGATCTGTAGTATACATGTATATTGTATCTTCCATTGGACATGTCACTTATTTGATTGATTGGTACCAGAAAATAGTAGCCAACCCAGTATTCTGAAGCAAATTGTGGTAATATTTATTACTGTTACTGTACTCATATTCAAGGTAACATCTACTACCAAATCGCCAATTGAAATCTAAGCATAGGTAAGAGGGTACATACATATTTTAAATAGATACGAATCATGTTTAAACACTGAATGTAACACCTGATTATATATGTGATCTTATTCATTTCAAATTGAAATGACCAACTCAACTGAGAAAAGCATACAAAACCTAACATTTCCCATGAATGAAAAATCGTGGGTATTTCTTAGTTTTATCAACCCTCTAAGGAAACATTCACAGCAATATAATAACATAAAATATTATTTTTTAATGTGACCTTTACTTTAATTTAAAAACTGTAAGATGTGTAACACAACTTATTCACTTTCAGTTACAGTTACATATATGATATACAATAATTAAATATATTCGTTATTGATATATGATGGATAACAAAGGGACAGATCAAACTGAAGTCGTTATGTGAAACCTATGAAGTGAAGCATCTTTGACGACTAACCTGATGAGAAACTGCCGTCCATTCCAGACGGATTCCTTGTTTCCTTGAAACAAACGACTGGCAGTGCGGACAGAAAACTGGTCTTTTTCTTGGAACTGAAAAACATATCAACTTATAATTACACTGGAATCCACGCACTGTTACATTTTGAGTGATTATATTTTTCACAAAGATAAAGAAATTTATTCTATGTATCGATTTAGTGTTTACTTGTTTTTGACGAAATGCTGATGAATAAAAAGTATTGTTTTAAGATTTCCTTTAATGAAATTAGGAGCATGGTATGGTGTAACTATAAATGATTACCAAGCCAAGCCTCTTATCAATCTCCGACAAGTCAGTGGATCCACAACACGTATCTGTAAATTGAAAAAATGATTATTTTAGAAATTTTATACGTGAATTGTGTCAATGCATTGTAAGGCTAAGAGGTTTAATAATTGATTACACAAATTATTACACAAAGCTATGAGTGTAAAGTATATGTAATAATTGTTTTAATGGTTATAAAATGATAAAATAGATGAGTTGCTTGCTTTCCTATCATGCTGCATACTATTTATTATTTGTTTTGTTCGTGTATCAATGGAATGGAGAGGTATTCAAATAAGCCATTGCGGCTTGTTTACCAATCCTGGTTCAATTTGTTTTGAATAAAATATGTTTACACTAAAATAGATGAACTGGTATAATTGGATAAATACCGCCATATAGCTGGAATATTGCTGAGTGCGGCGTAATACTAAACTCACTCACTCAGATATAATGAGCTGACATTACATATAGACTAGTAATAAGTAAACTTATAATGCATGGGAATAGTATACGTAGATCTAGGTGTAGAACTGAAAAGAATGAACATGATATAAGCATGTCTAATACACTTGCATGTTTTGAGCTCAATAGGTAAATTACTTACATGATGAAGTTTTACGTCCAGCAGAAATATTTTCGTATATTGCCTACTCCTGACAGGGTTTTGAAAAATCACCTATTTGCCACTAACACAAGTTCTCATGAGTAGGACTCATGAAGCTCGATCAGGACTTTTAAAGTAACGTGAATATGTTTTCAGATTTATTCACTGTTAATTATCTCTAGGCCTACATGTTGATGCTTGACACTGAGGAGGAGCAATTAGTGCCCATAATGCGATGAAAAGACCCTTAAGCTCATAACAGCCCACTGTTGTCACTTTGGGTACTCACATTCAATCTGCTCATTTCCACCTTTCGCGGTCCCCTTTGATGTCGGCAATGTAAACAAATAAAACAATGGCGACCGGATCACGTCCACGCGAGACTACCTAAATCATTATAAAAACACACAGCTGACATTTTAGGTGTATAGTGTATGTTTATTTTGTTGTATAACGCGGAAAGATATTGTCAAACTGTAATGTTAGATTTAGATTAAAAAACAACAACAAAGTGTTTTTCCCGTGAGTCTTTGCGAGACGCCATTTTCATAGCCGCCTCAGTTTTCCTCAAAGCACTGGAAGAGAGAATTCGCTACCTGGAAAAGAAAGATGGAAATGGCTGCGAAAAACTCGCAGTACAACGACCCTGTCAGGTAAGACCAAGTTATTTTGTTGTCAAATAACGTTTAATGAATTATTATTTACTTTACGTACTGAAATCCGGATTGGTAAACAAGCTAATCTGTCGAATTACAGCCACTGGCCATAGGTATTCGTCACTATGCATTATTCGACTTACATGTTAATTTGGTGCAGCTAGACATTGAATTTATTTAATATCCGTTTGATATTGTTCATATTTTGCACATGGGTCATGAATCATCTCAGCTACAAAGACATAATTTCCGTTTTATTTTCAATTCAGTGCGTGTCATGGTTATGGCAATTTTTAACATGGCGGTCTATGGGGAAAGAATACGCAATGTTATATATATGTTGCTCATGTAACTACAATGCGGAAAATTATGTATCTGTGACCAAGATGATTTCCTAACAACCTGCAAAATTTGACAACCAAATATGGAAAACTGAATTAATGAAAATTACACAGCTACACTAAAATAGCATGCAAGTCTGTGAGAATTTTGCCGACTGAAGTATATTTAAGTCCCACGACTGTACAGTTTTGCTCGAACTATTTTCAAACGATGGTGAAGTAAAATAAGTCTATCTAAAAATACACTATAAGTTTGAAAAATATAGCAAATAGATTATATATTAATGGATTTGTTTTATTCATTTAGGCTGTTGTGAGGAAACATGTGTCACGACTACTCCTGGAGGAAAAGATCACCCTCTCTTACTGAAGGTATGTGTTTATGGTACTACGAAACATAGACATAATTTTACTTTGAATATTTTATTATTATGCTTCCCTAGATACATTTTCACAAAATGAACCATACTAAAGTTTCATTTGCAAATGGATTTGAATAACCGGTAACTTAATCATGATTTCTAATTGGACCAAATAAATCTTAACTTCACACCTGTGTAAAATTGCAGTCAAACTGACCCCTTGATTTTACAATACCGTAATTACTCCAAGGTTATGTCACATGAGATAACCAAACTCAATTCATCAGGATGTTTATGTCAGGCCGTTCACTTACTGATTGCATAACCTAAAGTGATAAATCTGTAGTTTGCTTGTTGGTTTAAATGTCGCTGCAATTGTTTGGGCTTTTGAATGAATGGGGAAATGCAAAGAAAAGTAACGTGTTATTGTTTATTTTTTTCAGCAAAGCTGATGATGTGTCTAGAAACTGTATAATGAATGACCAAGGATGGTCAGCAGGAACATGTGAAGGTAATTTTGACCTATCTGTAGTGACTTTTATTATAAATAGTAAATAATTTCAAATTAATAGTGTAGAGACAAGGTTTATGGATGTCAACTCCTTTATTATGTGAAAACATGTTTCAGAGTGAATGATTACCCCTTTGTCAGGTGTAAGCATTCACCCCGAAACATTGTGTTTTCACATAATAAAGACGTTGACATCCGTAAACATTCATGTCTTGTATTATTCACTTCAAAATACACCTCAAAGACTTAATGGTGTAAACATACAGTCACTACTGGGTGAATATACTTGTGCCTTCAACAATACGACTGACTGACTGAGTTTGGTTTTACGCCGCTTTTAGCAATATTCCAGCAACATCACGGCGGGGGACACCAGAAATGGGCTCAATACGAACTGTAAGAGATTGAATATAGCAATTTGATGAAAATCTATTACTAGTACCATTATTGCTATATAGAAAATGCAATAAATGTTCAGATATATACATAACGTATTACTACCTCTGGTCTGGGAATCATGTAACTCCAGAGCAAATTTTGTATAGATTGTGTGTCCTCTTTAGAAAATAAGATATTTCATTCGGTCAATGACGTGTGATGAATTGCATAATTTGAGTTTTGAGAAAACTAGTGCAAAGTGTGATTGTTCAATTAAGTTCTCTTTTATTCAAACTTCCTTTTGGATTACTCATTTTAAATCACCCTTGGCATTTTCAGTTTCTTGTTGATTGATGTTTGTGTAATTTATCAAAATAACCTAGTAATTCGTTATTACCTGCCATTTTCAGAAACTTGCACATCGCCTAAACAGACTTGCATCTATCGATTGGCCAGATAGACGAAAGAAAAGGTAGCGACAACACTCACCATAGACATGACATCACCAGTCGTGAGTGACGAAGATGACGTCAATAAGTTGCATTCCGTCTCCTTTGTCTGGGAGTCCAGCAAGCTTAGGGCATACACGACGACACTGAACTTGGAAAGAATCTACACCTCTACTGCTCTCGTCATGGCCAACGTGAGGACGAGGATGAGGCATCCAACCAACCGGAGGGATCTCCGCCCAGGGATGCCCCTTATTGGGCTAACTGACCAACTCTTGCAATATAATTGAATTTATTTTCAATTTCATAATGTAATTTTTATTTTATTTTATTTTTGTATTGTAAGCTGTATGTTGTGTTATTGTATGATGTATATCATAGTGGATGTTTGGCGATAGTTGTGTGTGGCAGAATACCAAGGCGTGCAAATAAATGTCCGATGCAGCTATGTTTAATTACTGTGTTAATTTGTATGTTATTGTTATTTTTCACCATTAGCATGATTTTTGAAATAAATTTCATATCTAACATGCTATTTCAAGATAATAAGTGAATGAAAGTTTAACTGATGAAAAATTACTACTTTGTTATTAATGATATATGATTTCTTAAATTGGATTGAGTTATGCCAAAATGTTTTGCTCTGTTTTTGAGTGCTATATTACTAGTTATATGTATGATCTTTATTTGCCTGAAATGCTAATTCATATTCATGTTGAGAAAATAAAACAATGAATCTTATTATATATTCTGTTTTTCTTTAAGTAAATGTCATGATAATAACAAATTGCTTATATTGTTTTTAACAAGAGTTTATGATATGAATAAAGAAGAATGGTTAAATTTGACTCTTTGAAGCGCATATGAAAACCTGTGAACCTGAAATTGAAACGGGTAACTGAAACTATGCGGAAACTATGTCGGATTGTTGGTAACTGAAACTATGCGGAAACTATGTCGGATTGTTGGTAACTGAAACTCTGCGGAAACCTGTTGGAGTCTTATTAATAACTGAAACCTTGCGGAAACCTGATGGATTCAAAGTTAACTGAAACTCAACGGAAACTTGTCGGAGTGTGGGTAACGGATACCTTGCGGAAACCTGTTGGATTGTGGGTAACGGAAACCTTGCGGAAACCCTTAGAAAGTGGGTAATTGTAAGTTTCCGTTATTGCGGAAACTCAATGTAAAAGAACGGAAACTCACTGGATTCTAGGTGGAAACTTAAGTTTCAGTCCACTTTCCACCAGGTTTCCGCATTGCGGAAACCAAGTTTTTTATTTTGCTGTGGAAAATACTTCGAAACGTCGTGACCCTTCACAATAAAGAAGTTAACATCCATAACATTCTTGCGTTTATGTGTATCACTTCTAAATGCCCTTCAAAGACTCAACTTGCAACTGGCCAATGCGACGTCGTCTTTTGTTGGTAACCCAGCCATGTTGGCATTTCTGGTAACACAATGGCTGAGTGTGCTGCTAAAACAGTACTCAACAAATCTGTGCCACCACTTCCCATTCGATACTCTGATTACAAAGCGCTTATTAGATCGTATATCTATGTATAAAAAGTGGGACACCCAAGTAGGTATCAATAAATTAAAAGTCGGACACCCAAGTAGGTATCGATAAATTACATCAAATAAAGCCAACTATCAGTTACACCTACTTGGGTTGTCTGTCCAGATTTGAAGATGTCAGTATGCGACGATGTCGCATTGGCCATACGCGATATACACACAAATACTTATTAAAAGGTGAGGATCCTCCGTTTTGTATCCCTTGTGAGGAGGGAATCACGGTCAAGCATGTCCTGCTTGACTGTGTTGATTTTTCCATCACAAGAGATAAGTATTTCAATGTCAAAACAATAAAGGATCTTTTTAACGTTAATTATCGTTTAATTATTGATTTTTTAAAAGAAATGGAATTGTTGCATAAATTTTGATATGTCTGTAGATAGATGACTGTTCTATAAATTGGGTAGGTTAGATTATCAACTGAGATTGCTGAGGATTGTATCCTCAAAGGGGATTAAAGTAGTTTAAAATTACTGTCCTCCTGAGAAGATACGTAAGTCCCAAAACATTTACAGTAAATTTTAACAATGAAGATGTTTGTTGCTTATATATTTGTTCTCCTCTACCCTTCTATGACATGTCTGATAGAATACAAATATTCCTGAAATGTCCGGTGAGGTGTAAAGCTTTTGTCGGTTTCGATTGTTGGTATCTATGATGTGCTTAAATGTGTGCACCTCATTATGCCAATCTCGTATGAGATGATAATTCTTGAAGGCATACATTTTGTTTTGTACATGTATTAGTGTGATTACCTTCATTTGGATGTGACATAATATGTAAATGTATTTCTTTGGCACTTTTCATTGTGGAGGTCAACTGATCGAAAGTTAAAATGACATTGCCTAAATTATTATCATAGACAAAAAATCCTGTGGACTAACAATGAACATGATACTATTTATCAATGGTTTCTTTTTAGATATGTACTTGCGAGATCTCAAATTCTGGCCCTCGGATAAGGCTGATGCTATCAGAAGACTCACTGCTTCATGCAACTCACATCTCAGAGATGCCGTCTTTTCTTCTGAACAAATCAAAATGCATTCTCGCGGCAGAGTGTATAAAGTTATTCCAAGCACTTGTCTCAGTAAGTTTAAACAGTTTCACTTTTTAATTGCAATTCCAGTTAAACGATTCGGTTAGCCTCAACTCTTCAGCATAGAAGAGAGAAAGTCCTTTCGATTTTTGTTTGGAATTTTGTGATGAATGTGTTTTGCAAATAGACCAATAACACAAACGCCAACGGAATTGGTGGTATAAATCCAGACTGGGCCCATGCAGGATGCAAAGCTACCATAAGTCTTCATGGTCTTTAGTATGGTGATCTACCTTCAGTTGTTGGCGTTTTGTATTGTGTATTGTCAGAATAGTGCTATTATTGTAACACCAAATGCTAGTCTTCAACCTAACGGTGATACTCTAGTTGTTTTAGTTGAAATATATTATTAAAAATCATCGTTTAACTGTATAACTTGATCAAGTCACAATATGGCTGAAACAATCCTGACGTGACTTAAGGTAAACTCACTCACTCATTGCATAGTGAAGGATGGTGTTTATCCTTGAGATTCCCCTGCAGATGTGTAGGTAGATTATCATTATATTGAGCACTAATGACCTGACCTTTCTATCGCGTTATATCATTCAAAGAAACTTGAAGCCATCGCATCAGCAAATAGAAGAGTTCATCCTTTCTTCTTTGGATCAGATCATTGCTAGTGCTTTTGTATGTTCACGTGTTGATATTTCTTTACCTGTAGTCTCGTCCAAGGATATAAGAAGTGAAACAAATGGTCTTAACCAGCTGAATTGGCTTTGTGACATGAGATATGAAGTTGATCGTCCACAATCACATCACTTATTTTATTAACATTTTCCTGGCTGAAGGTATTGGCAGGTCGTCCTGATCTTAGATCTTCTTTGAGGATCTCTTTTCCGCTCTAAACTCAGTTGCTTAATGTACTTAGTCCATTTACATCAACACAGAATGCATAGAGACAATATTTCTCAGAATTGTTCGACAACCTTATAATGAATTTAGCAACCGTATATTCTAGCCATCAAGCTCTGCAAATAGTAATATCTGGCCATGCTAAGCACCGTCGCATGCACAAGGTTAGAGACCTCCATCCCTTTGTGCGTGTCAACATGAATAAACATGAGTGGTATCAGCTCTCTATTTCGTTAGTGATGACCAACATCATGATTATCATCCATACACGCTGGGTGGGATTGCAACACATATTTACAGATTGTATTGTTACGCAACACTTCACATGGATGTGGAGAGGAATCAGTATCAAATTCCATCACCTAACTCTAGTGAGTTTCAGATGAAGTCACCATGGATCCGAACATCCGAAAACAGACACTATTGTTCCAATTAGAGATATGCAGATGCATTTCTCGAGAAGCCTGTGCCCAGATCCGATCTAGCAATATGTCCCTTCGGGAGGGAAAAAGAAGCACCAAATATCGCAAGCCAGATATATGCGAAGCCGAGACAGTATAGACTACGAGACACAAACACACACAGAGACAGAAACAAACAGAGGCCTTGGAGATTTTGTTAGAGAAGTGTCCCTATCTTTTCCCTTCCGACAAAGAGAAACAAATCCTAGAGCAATCGGGACACACGTTCTCCGAGCGGTACCAGATCCTTAGTGAGTTTCTCAAACTATATTTGCTGTGCTTTTGCCGATTCGTCAAAAACGTCAAAGTAGTAGATTTTGTCTACATTTACCCACCAAACCAATTTCGACCAGCAGCGGGCAAACTCCAAATCGTTCTCGCCGAATGCCTGGAAACGAAGGACAGACACCACCAATGCACCGACTGCTTCGCTGCTATACGACTGCACGACCTGCCATGTTGGACCGAGACAACTCTACTTGCCAGTTTGGCGTTAAAGACAACTGCCTTTGCAGCCAGAAATGCGTTCTCTGGAAAATCAAAGATACACCATATAAACCCCAGGAGTGACTCCCACTAGAGGTTCCAGAAGAAATCGAGATCTCCGACTGTGTCTCGAGCATGGAGAACCTGTACGACAGCGACTGCATCCTCTGGTGCCTACGATACAAACGTCAGACGTCTTAAATGCCATTGGAGACAAAACCATTCCTAAGTCCTCTGCAAACCCGCACATAGGCAAACGATGGTTTGATACAAACAAGTTAGAAAAAATAGGAAGAAGGCGGACAAATATTTCCGACAACATCATACTGTGCATAACCAGAATACTGTTAAAATGGCAAATGCCAGGGCAAGCGAGTACCTTTAAACAAACTAAACGCCGGTCATGGAGGAAATGTGTGGCCAAAATCAACTCCCGAACACCAATATTCAAGGTGTTGAACATGATTCAAAAGATTAAGGGAAAAGGATCAACATCTGGTGTTCGCCATCTCAAAGATAGTGACTCTCTTTTAACACATAAATTTGAAATTGCAAACATGGCCAAATTTTGGCAAACCACTCATCATCATCACATCATAACCCTCAGTTCCAGAAATACCAAACCCAACAAGAAAAGAAATCAGTCAATTTTAACTCTGATAATGGTGAGGATTACAATTAAACGTTTTCTCTCCATTAGGGCAGGGTCAGGAACAGATGATATTCATTATCAGCTCCTGAAACACCTCCCTGATTCAAGTTTGGAAACACTACTCAATATAAACTACCGTCCAAAAGAAAGTATACCACTAGTTTCGAAAACCAATTAAGAAACAACAAAAACGATTTCAACAAAATATGGTTTATATTTCATTAGAGTATTCATTTCTGCATTTTTTAACCGAAACACAATTCAGAAATAACAATGATAAAGAAATTGAAAGGAAACAGACACACGGGGGCTCAAAAAAAAGATCAGAACAATAAAACTGAACAAACAGAAGGTTTTTCAAAATGCCCGGTACCCAATTTAGAGCCATGTACTGCTTCAGTGGCGAGTATGTCCACCTTGTGCATTGACACAAGCAACAATACGTCGGCGCATGGATAACGTCAAGCGTCTGATGACTTTGCATAGAATCTGTTGCCAGGCGTCATTCAGGCACTGTTCCAGCTGTCGAACGTTGACTGGGGGTACTGGTCTGTTCCTAATCTGCCTGTCGAGATAGTCCCACAAATGCTCGATAGGGTTCATGTCTGGTGAACACGCTGGCTATGGTAAGACATGGACGTTCATGTTGTTCAGGTAGTCTCTTGTCAGTCTGGCAGTATGAGGTCTTGCATTATCATGTTGGAAGACAATGCCACGTGGCTGTTGGTGAATGAATGGAAGGACTACCGGTCGCAGAATGTCATCCCTGTACCTCTGTGCAGTAAGGTTGCCCCGAATGATGACTAGCCTTGTTTTCAGTCCACCACAACCCCATCCCCCCCCACCCCCACCCCACGACTTTAACACCATCTCCACCATACGCCGGAACTTCCTGGAAATGGATAGGAGCTAAACGTTCTCTAATACGTCTGTAGACACGTTGACGGCTATCAGCAGTGAATACGCAGAACCTGCTCTCACCCGAAAAGAGGACACGTCTCGGACTTGCCAACGTCGAACTTGTCTTGCCCACTGGAGCCTGTAACGCCGGTGTTGATGTGTCAGTACCACCCTACGGTATGGACGTCGTGCTTAAATGCCATGTTCACGCAGTCGTCGTGATACTGTCTGTCGACTAATACGATATCCGAGTGCCGTTGCTGACGTTGCTGTTGCCTGGGGTGGATAACCCGGATATGGCGGTCCTCCTGGGGCGTGATCACCCACAGTCTCCCACTTCTGGGCCTGTCTACTGTTTGCCCTGTTTTGCGGAAACGCTGAAACAACATGGTGATGCACACCCGGGTGCAGCCGAATATTCTCGCAATAAGGGGGCATCTGAAGCTCCTTGTTGATTCCTACTGCTCTCTATCTCTGTACTGCGGTCAGGCGTGGCATTCCCCGTGTGTGCTTATGATTTTAACCGGCAAAAATATTTGGTATACTTTCTTTTGGACGGCAGTATATTTGATGACATTTGGACAACCGGAAACTTTCCTCAGTCGTGCCACAATGCCATTATCACCCCTATACAAATATCCTCCTTAAAGACCTGAATGTGGTTTCCGAAAGAACCGAAATGCCATTCACCGTCTGCTGCGTCAGGAATCATTTATGAAATATTCCATTGGCAACATACAACACACTGTATCTATCTTTTTCGACTTAGAAAAAGCATATGCTACAACATGGAAACATGGTATTTTAAGAGATTTGCATGAATTTGGATTGAGGGGTAGACTACCTCAGTTCATATCTCAGTTTTTGAACAACAGACAATTTCAAGTAAGGGTGGCAACGGTCTATTGTAGCCGTCAAGCTCTGCAAATAGTAATATCTGGCGATGCTAAGAACCGTCGCATGCACAAGGTTGGAGACCTCCATCCCTTTGTGCGTGTCAACATGAATAAACATGAGTGGTATCAGCTCTCTATTTCGTTTGTGGTGACGAACATAATGATTATCATCCATACACGCTAGGTGGGATTGCAGCACGTATTTCCAGATTGCATTTTGCCTGCAAAAGCAATTTAGAAAATTAGATTCTATCCACCACCAAGGCATTAGGCTCTGTCTCGGAGCTTTTAGGATCTTTCCGGTAGACAGTCTATATGCGGAGGCTTACGAACCTTCTATTGAACAACGCCGCATTAAACTTTCACTGCAGTATATCACTATATTACGCTCCAATCAGTCCAATCCAGCATACAATTGTGTTCCACCATTTGGAATCAGAATTCAACCACACATATCTGAAGCTAATATTTATCTCAATATCATAGCATCTTACCGACTTCTGTAGATCTTACCCTCACCAAACTAAACATTTCGGAAACAAATCCTTTAGTGTTCCAACAGGAATACAACCAGTTACGTTCCAAGTTGCCAATGCTGCAGTCATTGGATCCAAGACTACCTCCTCTAGAATTCCTGACAATAGGTCGATTTTCACTGCTGTGGCCAAAGGTATCTTCACAGCTTTGACCTACATTGTAGATGCAAGAACACAACTCCGAAACTAGCATCGACATCGACAA